ATTTTTCAGGAAAAAAAAATTTGAAACTGAAGACCTTGTTGATGAGAAAATGAAAATCAAAGAAAATGCTTGTGGTGTCGCATGTTATTGGCAAAAAAAAGCAAAGTAAATTCTGCTAAAGGCTTGGAAATTTATCTAATATCAGGTATAAATCCAGATAGCTGAATACCTGCTATCGATGTTTAGGTTCAAAAAGAGCTTATAAGTGCTAAAAGATTTATCAATAGAACAACTTTCAGCTAAATGCTATACATGAAGTATTTCTTTTTTCATCTCGAAAACACCCACAGATTTCGTGATTAGGTGATTTGATTCTGTAGACGTGAGAAGCGAAGAAGATAATAGAATTATTATCTTTTGTGCAGTAATACTATTGTCTTCTGTACAGTTATACTTTATCTTCATAGCAAATATATATCGAATTGTGCGATATACTTTTAACGCAGACGGGACACCGTTGTCCCTTTGATATATTTTTTTCTGACGCTTTAATTATAAAAAGAAATATGTTTTGGTATTTTTTAATTATAAAAAATATTCTAATAGTTACTAAAAAGATCTGTTACACTATTGGAATCATAATAGTGGCAAAATATAAAATCCAAAAAATGAAATTCGGATAAAAAAAAAAAACTTCTTCATTCTGATTCAAAAATTTATCATTAATTGATTTTGTAAATTAAGGAGATTTCAGTGATGAATAACTGCTTCTCTTAGATCTAAATAAGTGAAGATTAAAAAATAAATTATTATTTGAAAGGGAACCGTGCTTGGAAGATTTTACTTTAAACGCAAAAAAAAGACACCGGTGTTTCAAGCTGTGTATCATAACCATAAATTATTAAAATGCTAGACATAATATTTTTCACCTTTTTTTTTACCTAAATTAATACAAAATAATAAAAAAGTATTAAAAAATGTGTTGAATAAAAATTCTGCATCAAAAAGTTGTACAATTATCTTCTGCGAAAGAAGATAACGTTTCCGTTGTTCTGATCATTGATACGTGATTCCGTTGTTCTGATCATTGATATGCTAGATATAATATTTTTCACTTTTTTTTACCTAAATTAATACAAAATAATAAAAAAGTACTACAAATATGCTCAATAAAAATTCGCACCAAGAAGTTCTACAATTATCTTCTGCGAAAGAAGATAACGTTTCCGTTGTTCTGATACGTGAATATCAGTGGTGAGATAGTTCAACGAAGATTCTGAACGTGTAGATTTCAACCCTTACAACTATTCAATGCCGAAAAAGTTAAGTGAAAAAAAAAATAAGAATGAGCTCCGAAAATAAGAAATATTTGTACACATCATGGGATCGACAATGAGGATAGCTGGAAGAAGAATTACAAAGGCAAGTACAACATTTCTTTGAAGATGTGTCCGTCGTGGCCTAAACAGGATCTAATTCTTTTCTTTTTACCTTATTTTGTATGTAAGTTTCTTGAAACTCTTGAGAGTCAAAATTATATGCATTTAATTCAATAAGAAAATTGTGTGTGTTGGATTAGATTTAGAAATGGATGCGGAATGAAAGTTTTTAGAAAGAAATATGAGTAGAAAGTTTTACACTGAAAAATATTACACTGAGAAGAGTGAATTACTTTGAATTGTTAAGATTTTTCTTATTTTTAAAAAAAATTGGAGTAGTGCTTTTTAAAGTACAATTTTCAAAGAAATTCGTCTTACTTCGTCTTATTATCTTTGTCTTATTTGATTACTTCGTCTTATAAGTCTTCGTCTTATTCGATTACTACAGGATAACTGAACTGTTTTGACTGATTTTAATATAATTGGACGATTACTTATTTAGATTTATATTGAAAAATATTAGACTGAGATGAGTGAATTACTTTGATTTGTTTAGAAAAAGTTTTTTTTTTAAATAAAAATTTAATTAGTGATTTTAAAGTACAATTTTCAAAGAAATTCGTCTTATTTCGTTTTATTATCTTTGTCTTATTTGATTACTTCGTCTAATTAGTCTTCGTCTTATTCGATTACTACAGGATGACTGAACTGTTATGACTGATTTTAGTATAATTGGACGATTACTTATTTCGATGCTCTTTAAGATGATTGCTTTAGTTTGCAAAGATAATGGGTCAAAAGAAAGTTTTGGTAATTAAAATGATGTACCACACCAACTTGATGATGATATCAAAAATGCATATGATATCAAAAACGCACAAAGACGATAAAGATATCAAAAACGCACAATCTAGAACAGGGGTTTCCAACACACATGAGGCCTGGGGCCGCAATTAAAAACACCAGTCAAATGGCGGGCCGCAACTTTATCAAAATTTTATAAAGGATTCTTTTATGTTTGAAGGAACATTAAATATTACTGTCAGATTTTTATCAAGAAGTTGTACAAAACAAAAGTATTTAATTACAAACTAAAATAAGAAGTAGATTTTTTTTAAATATTTCATTGCATATTAGAAAATTCTGGCCACATAATTTGCAAAAGTAAATAATTTCGTCTAATATGAGTGGTTTCAGAAAGTTAAATCGGAGAATTTCTGCGAGAAAATTTCTGATACGCACATGCTAAATTATATTCACAAAATACGAAAAAAAAAAAAAAAAACTAAATAAAGAAGAGCAACATACACGATTATTTTCGTATTTGAATAAACATTTTCTTGGATGCAAAACCTGAGGAATAAATTTTTTTGCACCTTTGGTATGTTAAATTAAACAGAAACGAAGAAATTAGGTTTTTTTTTTAACGAAGGAAAAGTATTTTAAACCCATATAGATTTTTTGCGAAAATTGTCCGCAAAAATGATAAATAATATGTTTTAGTTCACGGGCCACAAAAAAGGCAGGCTGGATGCGACCCGTGGCCCGCCAGTTGGTAACCACTGATCTAGAACATAAAATGTTATCCCAATATAGAATGTAATTTGCTGTTATTACGATATAAGCATTTTTTTCTTCTTATTTTTAGTTAAGCTCTTGTGGTTTCAAAATTGGTTTATGTAAGTCAAATTTTGATTCTAAATTCATTTTGAAGTAAGACCTATTTGTTTTCTAAAATTACACATAGAATATTTGACAAATAAATAAGTTACTTAAAACGAGTCTTATTATTATCATCATTAAAGCAACAAATATAACTTGATCAAAAATTTGCATTGACAAATTTCAAAAATAAATAATTTTTTTAAAAAAAGAAATATATTATCCGAGCAATAACGACATTTCATTTGAAGAATATTGTATTCATATTCTGGTAGTGAATCAAATATCTTAATAATTAAATTTGTTCTTACTCAAAAGATAACGCTTTTTTTTCGTATTTCGTCTATTATAGACTTATCAAAACTATGTTTAACATATAGATTATTTTGTTCATATCACAAAATTTCATTTCAGTAATATTTAAGGGGAGGGTAATAAGAATAAAAACTTTACTTCGACATATTTATTTAAATCCAATTATATGAATAAATACGATAAATAAACCTCTAACGGTTGTCTAAACGGCGAGATCTAACAATTTATGATATTTTTACTCTACTGACGATTTTTTTTGCGTCAACCCTATGGTTAGCGCATAGCAGGTTTATTAATGAAATAAATACTTTTTTCCTAGATTTTGCCTGCTATTTATTTTTTTTTTAAAAAATTAAAAAATAAACAATCTGTAACGCTGCTGTTTTCTTAACAGTGCATTTTTAACTATTTGTGTGTGAATCAATAAACCTAAGAGGATGAAAAGTATATAAAACAATCAAAAATTAGCAGTTTGTAAAAAAAAAAAGAAAAAAAAAGTGCCATGTCAATCGAGAAAGTTGATGCAAAAGTCGTTAAGGAAATTCTATTCTGCCACAATGGGCTTAAACAATACATTTTCGTCATTCACCGAGAATGCTTCAATTTAGGCTGAAAATGCTTATATTTATCCAAGAAATTTCTAATCAGCAACTAACATGTGCTATTTATGGCCTTATGGAAGCTGTAGTGCGTATAGAGGATTAAAAAGTTCTTAATTCTGAATCATAATTATGAAAACAGATTGAAAACTTGATTGTTTGATCTAACTTGAGATTTTTTTCTTGAAACACGCCCCCAAAAACATGAGTCTGGTAACATTTCAACAAAATATTAAAAATATAAAGTCTTATCGGACTGAAAGAAAAATATGGGTTGTGATATAAAAAGAAAGACAAACGGGAACCATCAATCCCTTCCATGAAATAAAAAAAAATTAAAAAAAAAAAGAAAATAAGCAATAAAAAAATAATAAAAAATCAATAACTTAATAAAATTTGCAAGCAGATATTTCTTGTGAGTTCTTAAATTTAAATGCTTTTTAAACTTCGGTTTAAAATCATTTCATCGTTTCCCCCCCCCCTTTTCTTTGAGAAATCAGAAGCGATTTATCTTCCATTCCTACTTTTAAGAATATTTTATTACCCCTTATACAGATTAAAACCTAATAAAATATAAACTGAATGCAAACTAAGCACATACACATTACAAAAGCTAAAATAACAGTTTTAAAATTGACCTTCATTATTGTGCTATTATAAAACACATTTGTCACCCTCTAATTTAAATATTTAGGATTTAAAACTAATTTGGATAAATATAATTAGCATTTAAACCACAGGTAAAATTATTTATACATGTATAACTTAAACTAAGAGTTAGTTTGTCGAACTTTTAACGATATAAATTAATTTACCAAGTAGGAGATATAAATTTATTTACCAACGATATAAAGTTATTACCTTCCTAGTATGACCCTTTGGGGTAAAACAAACTTAGAGAGGAATTTTTTTAAAAAAAGTATTATTTTTTTTAATTATGCATAAAATTATGATTAGTGTTAATGTCGGACAATAATTTTATAGCAAGTCTTTTTTTTCTTCCAAAAATTAAAAAAGGATTTGAAAACTGTAATAAATTTTTTAAGGCTAAGTCATGTGCATTATAAACAGAAGTGCTAAAAAATTAGATATTTGCAGGCTTTACCTGTAATAGTCTTCTTTACAGTAGATGTTCCCGTCTCTAGCAAAACACGTGAGTTCGGAATCTAGTTGAACCTTGCACTCACAGCAAGTGAGGCAACGGACGTGCCACTGTCGATCCACGGCCAGCAGGTAGTATCGGTCCGCAATCTTTCCCCCGCACCCTCCGCACAGGTGGGGCACCGGGGGTTGGTATTCCCCCACGCTGATCACCGGCATTACCCCCTCCGTCGCCTCACCTCACATTAACCGCAATCACTTTCTCCACTAGAGGATCAAGAAGCTCTGATTCCCTTTTTCGAGTTTCACTAGTCCCTCATTAGATATCTTCTTAGCTTCAGTTCTGGCTTTGAAGAAGTTTTATAGATGCCATCTTATTAACATTTACATCGTCTGCTTTTGCTCGTGAAATAATACTTGATTTTTATCGTCTGCTTTTACACCAGAAGTAATACTTGACTTTTCTTTATTTAAGTTGATCTTATTTATTTATTTGCATGCGAAGTTAGCTGATTTTATGATTCTACTTTTACTTTATTGTACTGATTTTATCAATTACATGCAAATAAATTTCACTTCTTCGTTTTCCTTTCTTATGGATTTAATCTATATCGTCTGATTTTTCTTAGTTAAAGTAGAAGTAATTGTTAGTTTTTATGTATTGTTCCTTTAGAAATAACTATAAAAAGATTAAAGTTTTTAGGCTAAAACACTTAAATGGTTTTTATTTTTAATATTTTTGAAAAGTAACTTTATATAAAGACGTTTTTCAGATACTTGTATTTTTTTTTTATGAATTTCGTTTTTGAATTTGCAGTTAGTTTTCTAAAGAAATGGAACCACTGAATTATAAATCGTTGGTATCAAGAAAAATGAAATATAAATTATCACTTGAATTTTCTAAAATCATGGTCTAATTCAATCTTCTAAATGTCTTTTCTACAGGCAGATGTTTCTTCCTTTAAATAAATTGACTTTTAGAAGCTATGAAACATTTCTGTAACGTATAAGCTACTTGAAAAATACAGCAATCTGTCGTACTTCAGGAAACTTGTAATTTACAAAAACATAATAAGCTTCCAACACACAACTGCAGCACACAAATCTTAAAATCACAACTTTTTGAAGATAATAAAAAATCCAATGGCAATAATTGAATCTATATTTTCAATCTCTCATCAGTTTTGCAAACGATTGTTTTCAAACGAAACATATTCCTGATATTCTATAAATTATTTCGATGTACTGACACAAAAATTATTAGGAACAAACATTTGAACTAATTAGATTATCCACACGATTTTGCAGTTTTGCAATTCAATTTTGCATAATGTATGTTGGAACAGCGACTTTTAAGTCTATTAAAAATCAGTAACACAGGAACAAAACAAAAACAACACAGCCATTGAACAAAACACTGATTGATGGAGAGTCACTTATAGAACCACTTGTTCGCATTGAACACCTGTATATAGCTTTCTGATGATGCCAGGGATGCAGATCAAGTCGCTCTTGCTACTCCATTCAAGGACTGGTGAGATCGGAAAATAAAGCTCCGCCTCCTCAACCAATAGCAGAAGTTTAAGGCGTGACCAGATGTTGTGATTGACATTTATGAACGGATGCTGGAGATGAAGTGATGCTGGAAGGGATGCGTGCAGGCACGTGGTTGGCACGTGTAATTCTTTCCGCTTTGTTTTGCAAGAGGAGTCACCACGCTTGGGTGCTGAGAGCTCTTCCTATTCATTCTCATTTGAGGTCAAATGTCAACTCGTGATGATACAGTTTTATCAGTTTTTTTTTCTTTGGAGAATTTAGCTCCTATGATCTCTAGGTAGAAACACGCTTGTTACTTTTTTGTTGTTGAGGGAACAGTTATTAAAGCATTTATTTGTTTATTGCAAACACGCGCTAAATGAGGAAAATAAGAAATCGATGTGAATGACATGTTTGGTCTTGTAAAGCGTATCGAAAATCTGCGGGTAAAATGGATAAGATTTTGATTAAAAAGGCTCTTGGCTTTATTATTTTTTCAAACAAGCATCTTTTTTTTATAATTATTTATTTATTTTATGTATCCAAACAGTAAAATAACATGCAGTCAAAGTGATATGCAAGGGACAAAATAATACTTTTTGTATTTTCACAAAAAATTAGCTGAGTAATTATAGTTTAAAAACTGATGACAAGTATTTTTAAAAAATATTTATGATTTCATGGCCATAAAGTGGTTAACCGATAATTATGCCATTTATTTAATTGATAGTTTATAGACTGTAGATCAGTGCTCTCCAATTTTTTTTATAGCCACGGTCCGAGCCGTGATGGCTCAGAGGATAGAGTCTACGCCTTCCAATGAGGTGAACCGGGTTCGAATCCCAGCGATGGCTGGCAGATACGAATTCCGCATCCGGCATGCACCGACCACAGTGCTGACGTGAAATATCCTGAGTGGTAGACGGATCATGGGTTAGAATTCATTTGCCAGCAGGCTAACCGTGGAAGTTTCTCGTGGTCTTCCACTCCATGTAACGCAAATGCGGTTTAGTTCCATCAAAAAGTCCTCCACGAAGGCAAATTTCTCCCAATACTTGATCCAGGAGTTCACTTGTCTTCTGGATTGGGTTCAAAATTACAAGGCTACGGAGTTGAATACTAGTAGTCGTAAACCAAATTTCGGTTGTCTGTTCAACGACGGTTATATTTATATATAGCCACGGCCTGGTCAACATTTGATAATTTCATAGCGGTCTGCTTAGTGGGGGGAGTGATCCCGATTGTTTATATTTTAAATAATTTACATTTAAAATTTTTAATTTAATTGTATTTAAATATGCCTTCAAACTACAATACAATTGCATACGTGATATTATGCACCAATGGTAGTGCTGTAGCACAACGTAGTGCAATGGTGGCTGCTGTAGGTGACGTTTCTCGGCTTGCTGTTAACCTCTCTTCCGTGGAGAGTTGTACAAATCCGAGGTAAATACATCACAGTTAATAAGATGGAAATAATTTTAAGTGCCTAAGGTTTCCCGGTACAATTTGATCCACGGACTGGTACCGGTCCGCAGCCGGGAGATTGGAAATCACTGCTGTAGATCATAGTTCGTTTTTTAAATTGATATTTTATTAGTGTAACTATCTCTATGATAATACCTTATGCCTATTATAGACATAGAGATATTATATATAGCAGCAAGAAGCCGATTCAGTTTTATTTTTCTATTTCTCCTTATCCCATACATCAGAGTTCCTCCTGTCACGTGATCCCTCTCTTTTGGCGATTTTGGCGGAGAAAGATGGGCGTCGTGCGACACATAAGATGAGATCTCTTTTATGGTAGATTTGTGTTTGAAAGCAGGGAAGAAAAGTTGAGAGGTTTATGTTAATTGCTTGCGGAACTGTAAGACATTGGATCTTTTTTCAGAAAAATTAAAAGCTATTTTAGATTAATTAGGTTAAAGGTTAGCTTAGAATTCCAATTAATTATGTGCAAACTGTACAAAATTGATTATATTTTACAAAATTAAGAAAATTTTAATTTCTGAATTGTCTTAGAAACAGGGAAAATGTATCCTATGATAAAAGCTATTGTAATTTGATTCAAAGTTTTAAGAAGAACTTGAAGTGTTTTTGTTTCAAAAGTATACTAATTTTTTTATTGATTTATCGATATTGGAGTTTATAAAAAACGTGTCTAAAATTTTTCATCGTGCACAAATTTTTACAACAATCACCTTTACTTCCTGTAAAATCAAGAATATCTTTTCAGGTAATCGGAATTTTTAAAAATATTTGAATGAAATGAATATAGACATGTCAAGCAGTCGAAAATTAAAATAAAAATTGGAAATAATAAAGAGCTGCATGACAAAAAAATATATATATTCTGCGTATTTTTTTCAAATTTTTTCAAAACTTCACAACTTTGATGAAATGGTTAACCAGCTTTAATACCACTGATAGTATTCTCAGTTTCTTTTCATGCATTATCGCAATTAAAAAAAAGGCTGACGATTTCAATTGAAAAAAAATTGACGCTTTTACTTAAAGAATTGACTTCTTCAATTAAAAAAGATCTGACGATTTTATCAAGGTGCTAATTATTAAATGTTTAACAACTTTTGCCCAATTTATAGATTAGTTTTGCATAATCTTTCATAACACTCGCTTCAAACTCACGTATTTTATAAACTAAAGTAACTGTAAACAAGCAATTAACAGAAAATGATCAAAATTTCGATCGGAATTGAAGTTGATACAAAATTTGATTGAAACATTTTGATAACAATCATAACTTGCACTGTCAAGACATGAAGAACTGTCAATTGAACACTGTAACTGTAACTTGAACTGTCAAGACGTACTGTTAATTTAAATTTAAGCACTCGAGATCAATGGGCGGCCACCTATGATCCACTGATCACCAAGCGATATTGGATAGGGTATATGGGATCATCCCATCAATATAATGTTTTCATTTATTGTATTCTAAGATAAGGCGTGATTTAAAACAGAAGTTAGTGATTTTTTGTGAAAAAGTTAAAGAACAACCCACTTGAAAAAAACATTGACAATCAGTGCTCTAGATAATCGGAAAACCTATCTACATATATGTGCATAAATAATCGGTCGATTAATTTATGTAGATCGGTGATAAATTCTATTTGTCCCTACAATTACGATAAATTCTGCTTGTAACAATCTGCATTGGCAGCAATTAACAATCTGCACTGACAGCAGGACAATTATGCATTGACAACTGGAAATAACCATACATTCTGCCTTATTGCTGTCAAGCATTAAGAAAATGAAATAATCATGCATTCATTTTCATGTCTTATTGCCGTCATGCATCGACAAAATGAAATAATTATGTATTCTTTATTACCTCATGCATTCACAAAGTAAAATAATCACGCATTCTGTCTTATTGTCCTCATGTATTGGTAAAACGAAATAATCATGCATTTTGTCTTATTGCCTTCACGTAAACAAAATGAAATAATCATGCATTATGTCTCATTTTTCTTCTGCGTTGACAAAATGAAATAATTGTGCATTCTGTCTCATTTCCCTCTCGCATTTACAAAAAGAAATAATCATGGATTCTGTCTTGTTGCCTCATGCATAGATGAAAATAAATAATCATACATTCTGTCTTATTGCATTCATGCACAGACAAAATGAAATAATTATTCATTCTGTCTCATTACCCTCACGCATTTACGAAAAGAAATAATCATGGATTATGTCTTGTTGCCTCATGCATAGATGAAAATAAATAATCATGCATTCTGTCTTATTGCATTCATGCACAGACAAAATGAAATAATTATGCATTCCATCTTATTGCCCTCATGCATTGACTAAATGAAAAAATCATGCATTTTGTCTTATCACCCTCATGCATTGACAAAATGAAATAATCATGCATTCTGCCTTATTGTCCTCATGCATTCACCACGTTAAATAATTATGCATTCTATTTTATTAAACTCATTCATTATTATTATATAATAGCTATGAAATCTGTTTCATTAGATGAAGATAATATAATCATTGATATGCTTTATTATGCAATAGAAATTTAATGATCATTGCAATTAACTCAATATTACTTATTTATTTAAAATTGTTGGGAAGTAATCAAGTTCACTATTTTATTGTTCTTAAAAAATATTACTTAAAAATCGATATAAATAAGAAAAAAATAAACTACGTGATTATAAGGAAATAGAAAGAAAAAAATTGAGAAAATTTTTGCTTCAAATCCTTGGATTAGGAAGAAAATTTTTATATATTTCCAAATAAAAATAACAACGCAACTTCAAAGTCCAATCTCACTAATCATTTACGGTAATAATCGATTACCAGCAGATTATTTTATTTTATTTTATTTTATTTTATTTTGTTATATTTTATTTTATTTTATTTTATTTTATTTTATTTTTTATATTTCATTTTATGTATAGATATTAAAGTGGGAGATTATTTCATAAACATCGAAGAGTGAATAACCGATCAGAAGTCGATTACCACCGATAAAATAGCCGCGGGATGGGAAATAAATAGCATTTTGTGAAGAACAAAAATATTGTTTAGATTTTCAAACGCTGACACCTTTGAACATTTAAATAATAATAATTCATATTTTTTTCAATTCAAATAATTATCCTCAAAATATGCTAGTTCTGAGATTTGTTTACTGCAAAAAACCAAGAAAAAGATATTACTCATTTTTTCTTTCTTTCTGAATATGATTTTAATCATCACGATTTGAAATAATACATAATTTAAACTTTTTTCTTAGACAATTGGGAAATAAAAAATAAAAAAATTCTGCCATCGTCTAAATCTGTTATCGTTCTCCCAACTTTTTGTTACTACTAAAGTTATTTTCAGAAATATAATGGGATCGTATCTTATTTAAATCTTATCTTATCTTATTTAAATAATATCTTGAAATCTTATTTAAATTTTAAATTAATCGTTCAGTATAAAATATCCAATGTGTTGTCATAAAGACAAACTATGGATTGTCTAAACGCTGGTTTGCAAGGTAATAAATTTACCAAACGTTTAGCTACCACTATAATTGTTTCGTTTCCATATATATAACAGAATCTTGCACAATTTAATTAAAAGTAATAAACTAATATGATCGCATAAGGACAATAAATTAAATATTTAAAAGCTGTTAACAAGCTGTTCACCAATATTTTTGCTACCACTATAATTGTTTCCAGGCATAAAGTTGAATCTAATACAATCTAATTTTAAAAAATCAAATTTCATAAAATATAATCTATCTACATATAAGCAATAAATTAAATAACTAAAAGCTGTTAGCAATCTGTTCACCAAACGTTTTGCTACCACTATAATTGTTTCCAATTATGCAGGTGAAT